ATATTACCCCCAACATTGACCAAAATAATTATATATATATATATATATATATACAGTGCACAGACACAACAGCAGAAATACTTACATAGATACTACATTTCGGATTAATGTGTTCTATAAAGTTGTTATGAAAGATGATTTTGCACCAATGATTTCATTTACTAACAAAATCATTGCTGTAGCTTTTATTGATTGATTTTTTTAATCTAGTCAAACCTGGTAAGAAAACTGTGTTCATCATATTTGGGCATAAATATCATGTTTTTCAGAAGACAAGTCTCCATCTTACATTTCAGCATGACTTTTATTTATTTTCTTAATTATTCCAAAATGTATAAATAAATTATTTTTCTGTACAAACTTCATGACCCCTTAAGAAGTTCAAGAAATATTAAACCAGAAACACACTCTATGCAAGAACGCGAATGAGTTTCCGTCCAGTCAGATGCATTAACATATGCTATAAACATCAACAGCTTAATTATCTTTAACTAACTTGCTCTGCAAGATTCTCTTCAAATGCAATGACAGTAATTGACCTAAAAGAGAAGACTGACCATAGAAAACGGTTCACATTAATGTCTGCCATACCGTCCCTTGTCTGGTTCAGTGTTTGCATCACATACTTGCGTAGAGTGTGCTTCTGCTCTTTGTAGCATTACTAATAATTCATTATATGCAAAAACTAAAGATCGGTAACTTTTTACTTAAAGCCTTACGGTATAATGCATTATAAAGGTATTCATAATGTACATTGTACTGCATTATATCTATTCATAAATAACTGTAACCAAAGTTAAAATGCATTATAATTTTTGAAGGTTTGTTGTAATGCATTGCACTTTCTAACGGTGTAACAATGCATTTTAATGCATTATAACTGTGGTTGCAATTATTCAAGAGATCATATGCATGCACTGTGTGCATTACAAGGCTTAATGTAACTATATTTATAATGCATTATATAGAAAGGCTTTAAGTAAAGTGTTACTGAAACCATTAAAAACTTGTATGGAGAAAACAGTTTCAAGCTCCACTAAAATACAGACAGTCGTCAGGCACTTGGTGTTGATTTCCAGCATACATGAACAATAGAGATGATGGTGATGGTGTGCATGCTGTCAAACGCTCACATCCAAGACCTGATAGTTCAGAGGACGAGATCAAACGAATAAAACTGAAGCGTGAGAGAGAACGAGAGCGTTTAACAGCTTCTGAAGGGCCTCTCCACCTAAATTAAGCACTTGATCCTCAAACCGGCTTCTTTATGTGCCCGCGCACTGCAAATATTTGAACTAAGATGCGAGTACAATGAGCGTCCGCTGTGCAAACCCTCGACGTGCGTCCACTGTTTGCCTTGAGACACTTCAAGTGGCACTGAGGTGAAACAAGACGGAAGAAAGACAGAGTCTGGGTTTGTGAACTAATGAACGCTGATGACAAGGACAAACACTGCTGTGCAGCTGCTTCAAGAAGGACTAAATGTGACCCTGGAGCACAAAAGCAGTGTTAAGTCGCTGGGGTATATTTGTAGCAAAAGCCAACAATACATTGTATGGGTCAAAATGATCAATTTTTCTTTTATGCCAAAAATCATTAGGATATTAAGTAAAGATCATGTTGCATGAAGATATTTTGTAAGTTTCCTACCGTAAATATATCAAAACTTAATTTTTGATTAGTAATATGCATTGCTAAGAACTTCATTTGGACAACTTTAAAGGCGATTTTCTCAATATTTCGATTTTTTTTTGCACCCTCAGATTCCAGATTTTTAAAAATAGTTGCATCTCAGCCAAATATTGTCCTCCTATCCTAACACACACCTAATACATCAATGCAAAGCTTATGTATTCAGCTTTCAAATGCATACATTTCAGTGTCCCTTATGACTGGTTTTGTGCTCCAGGGTCACAAATGTCCACTTTAAAGTGTGAACGCCAGAGCAAATGCAATGCACAGCAAAGCCACGTGTTGAGAAAGAGTCAAAGCGCTTGTAAACGACATCACCGCATCAGCATCAGTCGCCTCGTAATCCTCGTCCTCATATGCATCGTCTGTGCCATCGTGGTCCATGGAGACGCTGTTGTCTCCTATCGAACACAGTTTGACCATATTCTGTTTGACCACCTCACAAAACGGCCTCTCCAGCCCGTCACACACGCATTGGTTCAGCAGCACGCCGTTCGGCATGAACAGCAGCTCCTCGATGGTGGCTCTGCACCGAGACGAACACTTCCTCCCGTTGAACAGCTGTCCACAGTGGGATAGATATGCGGTGAGGGATGACTGACAGCTGGGCTCGTCTTCACATCGCTGGCGCGCTTCGGTGCAACCGATCCCATCGGCATCACCCGGATGCGTCCGCGGCAGACAGGGCTCGACGGCTCGTTTGGCTCGCAGGCACTCGGGGTCGATCCCGCAGTCACAGGTCTCTAGAAACGGGCCGTTTGTGGTCTGGTTAAGGCGGATAAGCGCGCTGATGCAATGGCTTGGACACTGGCGTCTGCCACCGCGGATGATCCCATCGCATGCCGTCAAATACTGGTTATATGCAAGCTCACAATCGCGTTCTTCATGACATCGCATCAGCGCCTGCCAGCAAACCATCTGCGCATCCAGCATCATCGCAAGCGAGAGAAATGCGACGGGAACGATGCTGCTCTCCATTTTGCCTGCGAACTCAGATTAGGTGCATGCTTGCATCAATCCGTGAAAGCACAACATGGTGCGTCAGCATGCATTTACTCCACAATGAAGCTTTTCAGACTGAAAGTTCAGCAGTTATCTGTGCGATCAGCTCAGTTTGCTGCTATCCGGTTGCATCCTGAGTGCATTTCAAATGTTTATCCTCTTAATGCGTAAGAATCCTTCTGCGTTTGGGGTTTGCATGTTATTTGGAGTGTGTTTTCTGCTCTCGGAGTCCTGTTGCATGCTGCATGTCTTTGTCCCTCCGGCTCTTTCATTTACGCACGGAGACCCCTCCTCCAGAACCCCCTCCGCTCCTCTCTTCATTATGCATTCTGTTGTTCTATTGGTCGCGAACGGGGGATTGCATAGTAACGCCGTTTTTGGCAAAGCTCGCCTGCTGTACAGGATAAATAAAATGTTTATAAATTTCATGAAGCCGGCGAGCTGTGTGGTCTCTCTCTCTGCATTAGATTACAAAACCCCATCAGCGCAAGAGAGAGAGAGACGCATTCCTCTGCTGGGAGCTCAACATCTGCAAACCGCTTCTTCAATTTAAAGCGCAGAAAAACAAATCTGTTTCTCTTTAGCGCGAACCCAAGAACAAGCCCCTGTATAAACCGGTGGGTTACGAGCCCCCGTCACTCTCGGCCTCCTTTGGGGTGTTTTAATCGCGCCCTGATGGAAAAGAAAAGGGCCACAAAAGTGTTTTCTGGACCGTTTCACCCTCTTTGTGTCCGACTGGCCATGCAGCAGCCCGGAGGCCCATCAATAGAGAGACTTTCCACAACAATATATTTTACTGCCCTGTCCTTTCACAGCGCACTTCAGATCAGCGATTCTCTGCTATTCAGATGGAAACGGCTCTGATTGGAGTGGAAAAACTATGCAAAACCGCAACCATCCACAGCGTCTAGTAGACCGGGGCTAGTTGTCACACAAAGTAAAATCTCAATATTAAAATATTCTTGTAAAGATACAACATATCAGAATCAGTGAGGTGAAATACACTAAATCACATATCACGGGTAGTTGGGCATGACATGATAAACTGCATCTAAAATGGTTTTAAAAACATCTATTTCTAATTGTATGAATGCTATGCATGCATTTTTAATGAGAATGCATGCTAATTAAATTGTCATTTGACACTCTAACACTAGCACGCTCTAGTCTATCTAAAAAAACTAAACAAAAAAACCTTGCTATGTTAGTCTAAATGAGACTTATCATAGCACTTGCGTATCATTGCTCTGTTGTTGGTTTTGATTGCTTCTATTGTCCTCATTTGGATAAAAGCGTCTGCTAAATTACTAAATGTAATATAATGCATGACTGTAGAACAGCTAAAGAGTGATTCAAATGGTTAAACACCTTAAGGCAAGACGCCCCAGGTGAGTAGGTTAAAAAAACTGATAAAACAGCCTTTAATTGTAATTGAAATCTACAAAGAGATAAATAGATAAAATTACAGATAAATAGAAGTCTATTTTGAATGTTTTCTGTCCACTAAACACGTTACGAAAAGCCAAATAAACCAAAACACCATCAATGCATGAAAAAATGTTTGCCTTAAAGAAATGGCATTTACCTAAACTCAGCATTTGTTTGCAAAATGCTTATTTGTTATGTCAACTACCCACCTATATCAAGCTTCTTCATGAAAGCGGACAGTGTGTTAGTGAAGCGTTTGGCAGTGTCCCCATCTAGCGGCCAGAAACGGTACTGCGCTGTGAAAACATCACACAAAGGCTGAAATTACATCACAATCTTTGTACAAATATATTTATTACAGTTGCAACAGTCAAAAATCAGCAAGGTCTGGACATTACAGAAGAATAATTACATAAATGCATTACATTGGTAATTACGTCACTTATGCAGTCCAGAGCGGAAACAACTATCAAGGGCATAAGTAAAACAAATGACAAAAAACGTAATAAAGACAAAAAATATATAATAATCTAACGGGTTGAATAAAATTAACAGGAAAGTCAGTTTAACCCTTCACATTTATTGGCTATCAGCTCTGTCCTGTAGATCAGAGATGGAAATATTGCTTTATGTTTACAGCTTATATTCAAAAACCAAATCCCTGCATGGCTTCACTCAGAAGACAACGGACACAGAATCAGAATCAAACCCTTCATCCAGACGCTCACCTCAGCAGCACAGCATTTCAAATCATTATTTTGAGTCTCCATAAGAAGGAACAACCAGAAAGAAAAAGGTCGACATCTGCATCACGACGACACCAAACCACCTGCACAAAACGGCACCACTCAATGAAAGGTCAAAGGTCAAGGGTCAAATGTGACTGTGTTAGTGCGGATGTTTAGGGGAAACTGGGTTCTACCTCCATTCCTGCTCCCATAAGCCCTTCAAGACTATTGCTAATAAACACCTTCAGGTCTGGTTTGGATGGGTCAATCTCCAAAAACACGTCACATTTCACCCCAAAGTCAAAATGACCAAGAAATTACACTTGCGTAATGGATATATTTTAGGACCATTAAAGGGACAGTTCACCCAAAAATCGTTAAAATCGTGTCATCATTTACTCACCCTCACGTCGTTCCAAACCTGTATGAATTTCTTTAATCTGTTGAACACAAAAGAAGATATTTTGAAGAATGGTGGTAACCAATCATTCGCCGGTAGCTATTGACTTACATAGGGCCCTTAACGCAGACGGAATCGCGGAATCCAGTCATAAAAACGTAATTTACTGTGTAACGGAATGTCACGGAATTTGCCAAATTTGGATGGATACATCAAAAGTAGGTACATCAACAGAAACTTAAAGGTCTTCACAGAAACCCGTCAAAATAAGAGTTCGGTTGACAGAAATATTACTTAATGTAAAGCTAGTACTACTACTAATAAAATTATTAAAGGAATATTTACCAGAAAAATTTAAAATGTCTTAATGTTATTTTTGGAAAACGTTTAATAAATTGCTGTTTAATATTGTAAGTTTCAATTAATTAGACATGCTTTTTGATGAATAAAATTTAATTTAACCATTAAAATAGAGTCTAGAAAAATAAAAAAATGGAATCCAGAATTTTTTTTAATGAAAAAACGAATTTGAGAAAAACTAAAACAAGATTTCATAGGGCCCTACTTGCATAGTATTTTTTTCCACACTTTGGAATTCAATGGCTACCAGTACCTGTTTGCTTACCAACATTCTTCAAAATATCATCATCTGTGTTCAACAGAATAATGTTGGTAAGCAAACAGTTGACGGTACCCATTGACTTCCATAGAGTGGAAAAAAATACTATGGAAATCAGTGGGTACCGTCAAATATTTGCTTACCAACATTCTTCAAAATATATTTTTTTGTGTTAAACAGAATAATGCTGGTAAGCAAACAGTTGACGGTACCCATTGACTTCCATAGTACTTTTTTCCATACTATGGAAGTCAATGGGTACCGGAAACCGTTTGCTTACCAACAGTCTTTAAAATTTGTTTGGAACAACATGACGGAGAATAAATAAGAGAATTTTCATTTTTGGGTGAACTATTCCTTCAAGATTAATAATTTATGCAAAATAAAAAAAAAAATTTTTATGAGGCGAAATGTGACCCGATCGTGTTTTTGTGAGATTCTCGTATATTTGATGAAACACACGTGACATTTAAACTCCTAGAACGATATCAGCATCATGAAACAAACACTGCCCTACACGTTACACCGGATATATGAATATGGATGTTTGTCGTTAAAGTAAAGATCATGTTCCATGAAGACATTTTGTAAATTTCCTAACGTAAATATATCAAAACTTAATTTTTGATTAGTAATATGCATTGCTAAGAACTTCATTTGGACAACTTTAAAGATGATTTTCTCAATATTTGTCAAATATGTGTCAAACTTCACCCAGAAATCAAAAGAACAATAGATTACATTAAGAAAAGGAAGCCTGCTGCTGTAAGCGTTTTTACATTTACATTTCGCAGACTGTATAAAAATATACAGTCTGCTCTTGCAAAACCGTGTTTGCTGTCATGTTGTTGGCAAAATGGCAGAAGTTATCAAAAATGGAAAACACCTTTGGGATTCTTGTGTTGTGACATTATTTTTAAGGTGATGCACATTTTCATGCCATTTTCATTATAGTCATCATCTTGTATTGTGGATACAATTATTATTTAAATTAAAATCAGCATAAATTAAAATAAAAATCAGCATCAGTTCCTTACATCAATTACTATGCATGCACATTTCACAATTAAAATAACATATTATATTTTTTTTGTTGCATTATTTGCATTATTATGATGACAGTTTTTTACTGAATACTGGAAAATTGGTTGTTAATTATGATTTAAAATCAACACATTAAATGCAGTACATCAAATACTAAAATAGTGTATGAACATTTTAAAATGTAAATAATATTTCATTATTTTTTTGCATTACAGAAATGATATTTTTTTATCATCACAGTACACTACTGAGTATTAGAAAATAAGTTATGATTAAAAAAAATCATACTTTAGATCAAAATCAACAAATTAAAAAAATACTACAATAATGTATAAACATGTAAAAATTTAAATAATACTTAATTTTTTTGCATTGATATGTATTGTATGTATTGATAATTTTTTTTCTCACAGTACAATACATAATTTTGGGGAATGGGTTAAATTATTATTTAAATTAAAATCAACATGAATTTGATGCATCAAATATTACCATGATGCATAATTATTTTACAATTATTTTTTTTGCATTACAGTAATTAAAATTATATATTTTTTATAACAGTACACTACTGAGTTTTGGGGAATGGGTTATTAGTAATGCTAAAAACAATGATTATTTGAATTAAAATCAACAAATTAACCATGACGTATGATCATTTATAATTAAAGTAATATTTCAGTAAAAAGATTCAGTTTTTCTCATTACAGAACACTAATGAGTTTTGGAAAATTGCTTATTAATTGGGATAAAAAAATAATATTACAATGCAATTAAAAAAAAGGAGGAATGTGTACTTTCCTATGCAATTCAGCCCAGTGTGTTTGTTTCACAAAGACGAGCGAGGCGTTCGTTCTCTGCGCTTTATAAGTTTTAATTGTGTGGGCAGATGACGGGAGACAGAGCGTGTGATTAATTGTTACCTTTGGCAACCTGTATTTGTCTCTAAAGTGAGACCTGACTGTCGCCCTCTCCGCCTTCTTCTGGGCAAAATTGGTGTCTCGCTCTTGCCTGAGGAGAAACGAGAACAGACACGTCAAACACACACACACTCGCACATGCACACGCGCTCGCACACGCACACACGCACTCACACACACACACACACACACACACACATACACAAACAAACACTCACACACACACTCACACACACGATAATGTGAGGATCAACTGGGTTATTCAAAGGTCTTTTGATCATTTATCCACCTACGCAAGTCTGCCATGTCAATCTCAAGCTAATAAGCATCTCTATATTAGCATCTGTCAGATTTCAGCAATAGTTTCTCCGCTGAATGTTGGTTGAGATGTTTTAGGACTCATTTTTAGGATGCTAATTTGAATAATGATCACATAAGACATTTCATAACATTTGACAGAAAGGCCTTAATGTGTCTGAAAAAGATTTACGAGTGACGCTGTTTTTCATGGTTAAAAATAATCTCCATCATAACAACTTTCTGTTCATTTTAGCATGAACTAAAACAAACTCATGTCCACAGAGAGAGATTCGTGTAACGTCGTTCTCAAGGATTAAACTGCTTTCCTCTGTATGCCGTAGCAGAATATCACGGAATAAATACCTTCAAAGAGAGCATTAAATGACAACAGACTGACTGGATTTCTAGTGTTATTTGCCACACGTCTGGTGGACTGAAGAACAGCTTACAACAACATTTTATCCATTACAGAAAGCTGAAAATATTTAAAATAAATGTGCAATGTGCATAATTTGTTTAAATATGTCTATATAATTTTTATTGAATTTTAATTTACTTATTTAGTTTTACTTTTTTAGTACTTCAACAAAATGAATATATGAAACAAAAAATAAATACATGAACTAATTTTGTTTAAATATTTTCAGTTTTTGTTTATTTGGTTTATTATTCAAAAATATATATATATATTTTTTTTTTTTACCTACACAAACTAAAATTTAAGAAAAATGACAACACATCAAAATTACTAAAAATTAAATAAAAAATATAAAAATAAAACGTGATTCAAAATATTAACAAACTAAAAATAATAATTTTAATGTTAATAATACTAAAATAACATTTATTATTTTTGAATAATAATTTGTTTTTTTTAAATATTTTTTAAAACAGTAAATGTTCCACCTCTATTTGATCCTCTAACTCTAGCACTTTCTATTCTATTTTAATTCTACTTTATCTATATTTATCTTTTTATAAAAAAAAAACACTAGCTTTCTATTTTTTTCTATTCTATCTACTTGTTTTTCTTTGTGTGTGTGTGTGTGTATATATATGTGTGTGTGTGTGTGTATATATATATGTGTGTGTGTGTGTATATATATGTGTGTGTGTGTATATAAATATATATATATACACCTTGCTACATTGCGTTAGGCTAACCGATACTTGTCATTTGCACTTATATATTGTTGCTCTTTTGTTAGTTTTGACTGCTTTTATTGTCCTCATTTGTAAGTCGCTTTGGATAAAAGCGTCTGCTAAATGACTAAATGTAAATGATTTTAAATTAACGATAATAGCCTTCTATGGTACAGGAAACTAGATAGCATCTTATAAAACGGAAATAATCAAAAAACAAAAAAATGAATAATGGATATATGTGATGCAATAAAAGTTTAACCTTGTGCTGAATTACATCTAATTGGTTGGGCACTGTTGAAGGTCATGTGAGGTTAAAGGTCAATACGAATCTCCAGGGCTGAAGCAAAGGTCATAAAATGAACACATTTAGTACAACAGACATACAGTGAGTGATCAACAACCAGCAAATTATGATAATGTTCAGGCCTGATATCTGGAAGGTTGCTGTTCAATCCCTTTTGCATACGTTTGCATCGAACCAGGAACCTTCCTTTAATGCTTACTCCGTAGGGATCTTCTCTATGTTAAGTGTACTTGAAGCTGCTTAGGAGAAAAGCAGCTGCTAAATGAGTATTTACTAGAGAAGAAGAGTCGGGAGGGGGAATATCTCGGGGATTTAGACTCGCTCTGACAGTCGGGTGATGCTCATCCACTCGGTTCACTATAACAAATGACTAGTTACAATAATCCCCATATCAATAAGCAGCAAAAACCTTTGAGAAGATCATGCAGGTTTGGCTGATTCAAGAGATTAAACACACGACTCCCGTCAACAGTGTTAAACTATCTGTTCGTGTAAAATCTGCTCTCTGAGGACATGAGTTGGATTACAGCATGCGGATGAGCTCGGCACAGCCATCTGAAATCTGTGAAATCATAATTTTCCAAATATGGCAGTTATGCAAACCGTGTCAACACGGCCACCTGTTCATGCATTGGCTGTTATGAGCTGATATCTAAAGACAAAGCGTGCGAAGAACGCTAGAAATG